TTCACATTAAATATTTACGTGTGTTATAAATATCACTATACGCATACAGCTTACGCACATTTCATTAAAATTAATTAATCGTAAGTTTATTTGCACCTCCTGAATATTTAATATATGAAAGTATTAACAAATTCCATGCAAATATATATTTGTGACTTTCTTTCCTGTGACTTTTTTTCCTGTGACTTTTTTTCCTGTGACTTTTTTCTGTGTTTTTTTTTCCCTGTGTTTTATTTTCCTGTGACTTTTTTTCCTACAATCGAACTGGACATGAGCTCAATTAAGTCTTTAGCTCCACTCAATTTAGTCATCATCATCATCATCATCACTCCTTTATGGCCCCTGGGGAGCAAAGGGCTGCAACCACACATCTCCAGCGGACTCGGTTTTGGGCTGCTCCTCTAATCTGTGCCCATGAGAGCCCAGCTGTTTTCGCCTCCTCCTCAACCGTTCTCTTCCATGTTTTCCTTGGCCGGCCCACCCCCACTCCCCACCCCCTTTTCCCCTCAATTAAGTACATGAGCTCAAGTAAGTCTTTAGCTCCCACAATTTAGGTCAACAACTAAATTAAATAAATAACCCTACACAATTAGGACATGAGCTCCAGAGTTTATTCCAGGTATCTCTTCGGAGCCCCCCGAAAAAGATCTAACCCCACCCCCCCCCCCCCTGAGCAAAAAGGAATTTATATAGAAATTATATAATTTTAAGTGTCCTCCCCCCCCCCCTGAGAAAAAAGTCTGGAAGGAACACTGATGAACTCAATTAAATTTTCTATAAGCGCATCTCGAGTTGACCCTGACACGCCCCACCCTCGCCAGCCCCACCCCACCCACCCCACCCCACCCTCGCCAGCCCCACCCCACCCACATCACTTCTCGCGCGAGTTACGCGTGGTCGCGACCTCCCTTATGCCCATATAAGGTAAAGTCTGAAAGAGCCGGAATGTTGTTGGTAGGTTCCAGACCAGCAGTCCGGCACCAAGTCTGGCACGTAGGGGGGTGGGGCTGGGAGAGACATCAGGAGAGTAGGGGGTGGGGCTGGGAGAGACATCAGGAGAGTAAGGGGGGGATAGACATCAGGAGAGTAGGGGGGGGTGGGGCTGGGATAGACATCAGGAGAGTAGGGGGGTGGGGCTGGGATAGACATCAGGAGAGTAGGGGGGGGCGTGGGGGGATAGACATCAGGAGAGTAGGGGGGTGGGGCTGGGAGAGACATCAGGAGAGTAGGGGGTGGGGCTGGGAGAGACATCAGGAGAGTAGGGGGGTGGGGTGGGAGAGACATCAGGAGAGTATGGGGGTGGGGCTGGGAGAGACATCAGGAGAGTAGGGGGTGGGGCTGGGAGAGACATCAGGAGAGTAGGGGGGTGGGGTGGGAGAGACATCAGGAGAGTATGGGGGTGGGGCTGGGAGAGACATCAGGAGAGTTAGGGGGTGGGGCTGGGAGAGACATCAGGAGAGTAGGGGGGGCGTGGGGGGATAGACATCAGGAGAGTAGGGGGTGGGGCTGGGAGAGACATCAGGAGAGTAGGGGGGGTGGGGCTGGGATAGACATCAGGAGAGTAAGGGGGTGGGGCTGGGAGAGACATCAGGAGAGTAGGGCGTGGGGCTGGGAGAGACATCAGGAGAGTAGGGGGTGGGGCTGGGAGAGACATCAGGAGAGTAGGGGGGTGGGGCTGGGAGAGACATCAGGAGAGTAGGGGGTGGGGCTGGGAGAGACATCAGGAGAGTAGGGGGGTGGGGCTGGGAGAGACATCAGGAGAGTAGGGGGGTGGGGCTGGGAGAGACATCAGGAGAGTTAGAGGGTGGGGCTGGGAGAGACATCAGGAGAGTAAGGGGGGGATAGACATCAGGAGAGTAGGGGGTGGGGCTGGGAGAGACATCAGGAGAGTAGGGGTGGGGCGGTGAGAGACATCAGGAGAGTAGGGGGGTGGGGCTGGGAGAGACATCAGGAGAGTAGGGGGTGGGGCTGGGAGAGACATCAGGAGAGTAGGGGTGGGGCGGTGAGAGACATCAGGAGATGTCCACCAAATGTGACGGACCCCCAACACCAGACAAGAGGCTACCACTCCATATAGTGTAAGCTACCACTCTATATAGTGTAGGCTACCACTCTATATAGTGTAGGCTACCACTCTATATAGTGTAGGCTACCACTCTATATAGTGTAAGCTACCACTCTATATAGTGTAGGCTACCACTCTATATAGTGTAGGCTACCACTCTATATAAGGGAGGCTACCACTCTATATAGTGTAGGCTACCACTCTATATAGTGTATGCTACCACTCTATATAAGGGAGGCTACCACTCTATATAGGGGAGGCTACCACTCTATATAAGGGAGGCTACCACTCTATATAAGGGAGGCTACCACTCTATATAGTGTAGGCTACCACTCTATATAAGGGAGGCTACCACTCTATATAAGGGAGGCTACCACTCTATATAGTGTAGGCTACCACTCTATATAAGGGAGGCTACCACTCTATATAGTGTAGGCTACCACTCTATATAGTGTAGGCTACCCCTCTATATAAGGAAGGCTACCCCTCTATATAGTGTAGGCTACCACTCTATATAAGGGAGGCTACCACTCTATATAGTTTAGGCTACCACTCTATATAGTGTAGGCTACCACTCTATATAGTGTAGGCTACCCCTCTATATAAGGGAGGCTACCACTCTATATAGTGTAGGCTACCACTCTATATAGTGTAGGCTACCACTCTATATAGTGTAGGCTACCACTATATAGTGTAGGCTACCACTCTATATAGTGTAGGCTACCACTCTATATAAGGGAGGCTACCACTCTATATAGTTTAGGCTACCACTCTATATAGTGTAGGCTACCACTCTATATAGTGTAGGCTACCACTCTATATAGTGTAGGCTACCACTCTATATAGTGTAGGCTACCACTCTATATAGTGTAGGCTACCACTCTATATAGTGTATGCTACCACTCTATATAAGGGAGGCTACCACTCTATATAAGGGAGGCTACCACTCTATATAAGGGAGGCTACCACTCTATATAGTGTAGGCTACCACTCTATATAAGGGAGGCTACCACTCTATATAAGGGAGGCTACCACTCTATATAGTGTAGGCTACCACTCTATATAAGGGAGGCTACCACTCTATATAAGGGAGGCTACCACTCTATATAGTTTAGGCTACCACTCTATATAGTGTAGGCTACCACTCTATATAGTGTAGGCTACCACTCTATATAGTGTAGGCTACCCCTCTATATAAGGGAGGCTACCTCTACCTGAGACTGAAGATATCGGTTTATGGGCCTTGGTCCTCGAGGAAAAACCGTTGAATCGGTGTGGATGACGTCTGCACACGCTGGGTCAAGCTGACCTTTTCTCTTGGTGTCTTAACATGTGCTTGAACTAGTTCTTTATTTACATGACAAAGACGAAACAACTCGTTACACAACGACAACCACTCGTTACACAACGACAACCATTCCTTACACAACGACAACCAATATTGCCAGTTAACAACAAACATCAATTTCATTCACCAAAGACAATTTTTAATTGAATCTAATTAGACCTAGAGTATTCTATGAGTCGAGAACAGATTTGATGTTGTTTGCATCTGTTTTACTCACATCACATTCGCCGAAAATTGACGGCGTCGATACTCTGATATCGATCCTTTTCACCTTGGGGTAATATAATTTTTTGTTGTCGAAATAAAACATTATTGTTTAAAGAATGTCCACCTTGAGTACCACAAGATTCCACACAGGAGATCACCATTTTGAATGTTGTAAGAATCCAAGATGGTGGATGTTTACATAGTGACTGAGCCGTGACGTCATTCGCGAAGGGGCTGTAGATTACACGCTTGAATTTAAATAGTGAGAAGGGAGTGGGGGGGTGGAGGTGTAGAGTTAATTAAACTAGTGTTAAATTCAAATAAAAAACTATTTAATTTAGGGGATTAATTAGTTACCTTCATTTTTATATTGAAAATTGTTTGATATACACTTCAAGAAAAGGGGTTACAATGATATGGGGAGGGGGGGGGGGGGGGGGGGGGTTGGGGTGTGGGGGGGGGGATGTGGGGGTTTACGGAGGTTTGAAATAATCTCGGGCATGTAAATATCGTCTGCACGTAAGTGACCTTTACGCCGGCTCGACTGTTGGACGCAGACGTGATTCGTGACGTCACAGCCTATTGTTTTTAATCCCAGAATCCTGGCCCCAATCAACAACTTCCGGTACACGGGAGCCACGTGACCTGGGCAAGGGCCGCAACTCAAAAGTTGACCTTTCGCATCTGAAGGTCAATAAGGCAGGGGAAGTAATGTTCACCTGTGGTTACTTGTTTCTCTAACGTGTAAGGTACCCATTAGAGCTGAGTTGACTCCACTAGATACTGTACCAGTACAGAAGACTACTCTCCTCAACACAAGGGCAGCAACTGAGGGAAGATAAAACCTAAAACATTTTTCCCTCCCCCGCGGTCCAGTACACATATAAGCTATACTTGATCAAACAAATATAAAAGCCTTTGTAATCATCAGCTTATATATAAATGCACTGGATATTTTAGTTTTGGAATAAATAAAACAAAGTTTTTTTCAAAAAAGCTTCCATCGCTAAATATATCAGCGATTTCATCAGCGATCTATACTTTTATAAAAGAAAGAAACTTTGTTAATAAGTTAAATAATTTTGTATATAATTTCTCCTCAAAATAAAACAATAGCCTACACTAACATAGAAGTCTGATTGTTGTTCTTTCAGATCCCGGCGGTCAAAGGGAAGTAACAAAGTAAATGATACGGCGATAAAGTTAGCCAGATCACCCATAGAAAGGGAAGTGTCAAGGTAAATTTTATGCAGTAGGTTACAAAAAAATAACGTTCCGGAGTGGACAATACAAAGAGACAGACATACAGACAGACATATAGACAGAAACAGACCAACTGACAGCAAGAAATGACGTCACGCTGACCCATTTTATGATGTCTCATAAAAATTGTATTCCTATTTCTCGATGTTCACATTCACACTTTTTAACTAATCAAAGACTTGGCAAGATGAATCGACAGCTTCTGAAGTCTTCTCACAAGATGGACGCCATGTATGAGAGCAATAGCCGCTCTGTAAACATTTGGACTCATCTACACCATGGGATGTGACAAGCTTCAGGTCTGATGTCATCTGATGTCACCTGATGTCACTTGATGTCATCTGATGTCATCTGATGTCATCTGATGTCATCTGATGTCACCTGATGTCTTCCATTCAATCACGTTCACGGACAGTCACTAAGACGCCCATCATGGTGCCCTTGAGGTAGGCCCTCGTGTTCCGACGGCTGACGATGTGTTCGCTGCTGACGTTGATGCGGGAGAGGCTGGCCTTGAGCTGGTGGATGTAGTTCTCAGAGATAGCGGACAGGTCAGCCCGGGGCTTGGGGCTAGCGTACTTCAGCGTGATCCCGTGCTGCAAGACAACTTACGTCACACAGTGCTCAACATTTGCGTCACAGTACGTCACACAACGGTCAAGTCGTATGTCATATAACGGTCAAATCGTACGTCATATAACGGTCAAATCGTACGTCATATAACGGTCAAATCGTACGTCATATAACGGTCAAATCGTACGTCATATAACGGTCAAATCGTACGTCATATAACGGTCAAATCGTACGTCATACAACGGTCAAATCGTACGTCATACAACAGTATGACCCACTTTTTGTCAACCACAAGGACCCAGAAGGACCCAGAAGGACCCAGAAGGACCATGTCCTACCAGGACCCATGTTTGTAAGTTCACCTGATATAGGTTAAACGCGTGTATGCTGGGGAGGGGAGGTGTGGGAGGGGAGGTGTCGGAGGGGAGGTGTGGGGGGAGGTGTGGGAGGGGAGGTGTGGGGGAGGTGTGGGGGAGGTGTGGTGATAGGTGTGGGAGGGGAGGTGTGGGGGAGATGTCGGAGGGGAGATGTCGGAGGGGAGGTTAGGGAGTGGAGGTGTGGGAGGGGAGGTGTCGGAGGCTTGGAAGAGAGCCTAATGTCAGCATCAACAAGACATCTAATTAATTAATGATGAATCTAATTAACAATCAGCTGCCACTTTTTACCTGGTGGTCCTGTGGTCTTTGGTCGTCCTCTTCTGATGTTTGTTTTGGATCTGTGGAGAAATACATCGTTACATGCCACGCCCACCAGCTGTCAACTGCCATATGCCCCGCCCACCGACTGTCAACTGGTACATGCCCAGCCCACTAATTGTCAACTGTCAACACCCACCTGTCGTGCCCCTCCCATTTATCAATCACACCCACATGTCAACTGTTCACGCCCCTCCCATTTTATCAACCACACCCACCTGTCGGGGGTTTCTCCGTACACACGTTGTCAAGCGCCCCCACCCCCTGGCTGAGCAGCCATTTTTCTGTCTGTGACTTGTTCTGTTTGATGCGCTCTCGTACGGACGCGCTGTCGATGGAAACATCACAATAAAACCACATCAAATGGTTGTGGGCAACATCACAATAAAACCACATCAAATGGTTGTGGGTAACATCACAATAAAATCACATCAAATTGTTGTGGGCAACATCACAATAAAACCACATCAAATGGTTGTGGGCAACATCACAATAAAATCACATCAAATGGTTGTGGGAAACATCACAATAAAACCACATCAAATGGTTGTGGGCAATACCACAATAAAACCACATCAAATGGTTGTGGGCAACACCACAATAAAAACACATCAAATGGTTGTGGGAAACATCACAATAAAACCACATCAAATGGTTGTGGGAAACATCACAATAAAACCACATCAAATGGTTGTGGGCAACATCACAATAAAACCACATCAAATGGTTGTGGGCAACATCACAATAAAACCACATCAAATGGTTGTGGGAAACATCACAATAAAACTAAATGTAACCGTATGTTGGCCACCTAGCCTTATGTAAGTGTCACATGTCACATAAAACCCACCTCGCTATCTGTGAATGTCACATAAAACCCACCTCGCCACCTGTGAATGTCACATAAAACCCACCTCGCCATCTGTGAATGTCAGATAAAACCCACCTCGCCATCTGTGCATGCCACCAAGACACGATGAGAATGAGTGAAGCCTGTCTACTGCTAGAGTTATTGACTGCCCTCAAAGCACCTGCAATGCTCTCAAAGACACAAATTGCTGAGTTGGCACTGAGCTGGATCAAAGCTACAACAGTGGCAAATCTGTAGGGGAGGGGCGGGGGCGGGGGGGGGATTAGCAGGTGACTCACATTGGCACATTATATCTAGACATTGACACGTCCCATCTAGACATTGACACGTCCCATTTAGACATTGACATGTCATATCTGGATGACCTTTGACCCACTGACCCACTGACCTGTTGAGCATAACAAAGACTAAACACAACTTGGGACTTTTCTGTTTTGATGCAAGTCTCCATTGAACTTTGACCCCTGATGCCGGTATTTGGGCACGGTTCAAGGCCTTTTTCATGGCGATGATTTTATCTTTGTACCTCACAATGGTGGATATTTTACCCTCAGTCAGTTTGCTGGGGAACAAGAGGAAAACATACGGGGGGGGGGGAGGTTTGAGGTTAGAGGGGGTGGGGGAGACTGGCATGTTTGTCTTTCACTTTATCAGTCAGATAATTAAATAACATGTTATATATCAACACCACACAACTTATAGGAAGCCCCTGTGACTTGACTAAATCATCTGAAGCCCATGTGACTTGACTAAATCATCTGAAGCCCATGTGACTTGACTAAATCATCTGAAGCTATTGTGACTTGACTAAATCATCTGAAGCCCATGTGACGTGACTAAATCACATGAAGCCCATGTGACTTGACTAAATCATCTGAAGCCCATGTGACCTGACTAAATCATCTGAAGCCCATGTGACTTGACTAAATCATCTGAAGCCCATGTGACTTGACTAAATCACATGAAGCCCATGTGACTTGACTAAATCATCTGAAGCCCATGTGACCTGACTAAATCATCTGAAGCCCATGTGACTTGACAAAGGGCTAGAGCCACCCCACGCCACTCAAATGTTTTGGGCAGTTTCTCCTTGCTTCCCTTTCCCTTGACCTACTCCAGGTCAGGCTGACCCAGTCCATCCTGGCCTGGCTGATTTGTGGGACGTAATAAATGCCTGTTACCCCCCCCCCCCCCCAACCACACACACCCTTACTTGCAGGGACCTACTTGTCTAAATGCCTGTTACCCCACCCCACCACCACACACACCCTTACTTGCAGGGACCTACTTGTCTAAATGCCTGCTTTCAGGGACCTACTTGTCTAAATTAGCAATCAAGCTGGCATATCCGATGACGTCATGTTTATGAACGACCTGATCTGTATCCATCCACTCCTCTGTGAAATATTCCGGTCGACTTTTGATGCATTCTTCAGAAAATGGCGGGAATGATGTACGTATAGCTGCAACAAGAACATGGGTCACAGCTCTGGTGGGTGGGGGGGGGGGGGGGGATATAGCCGGATCACAACTTTCTGGGTGGGGGGATTTTGAAAAGGTGAGGTAGATTTCAATTGTAGGTTTGGCAGGAGGGGGGGGGGTGTAGGGAGGAGGGGAGGTTTAGGTTGGAGGGGAGGTTTGGTCAGATTTTACTGCTCAGTGTTCCCATTTTGTTAGACTCGCGCTTTAACAAATACAATCAATCAAGGACAGTAACCCAACATGTCTTACGACACAAACAAGGACAGTAACCCAGCCTGTCTTACGATACAATCAAACAAGGACAGCAACCCAACATGTCTTACGATACAAACAAGGGCAGTAACCCAACCTGTCTTACGATACAAACAAGGGCAGTAACCCAACCTAATGATACAGTCTAGCACTTGCCTCCCTTAGACCTGTATGGCTGATGGTGTCTAAGCTTGACCTGGTAGCTGGGCAGGTTGTCTGTCGGACGGAAGACGCCAATCTGCAGGCAAAAGTCATCATTTATACTGGCAAAACTCATCATTTATACAGGCAAAACTCATCATTTATACAGGCAAAAGTCATCATTTATACAGGCAAAAGTCATCATTTATACAGGCAAAAGTCATCATTTATACTGGCAAAAGTCATCATTTATACAGGCAAAAGTCATCATTTATACAGGCAAAATCCATTATTTATACAGGCAAAAGTCATCATTTATACAGGCAAAAGTCATCATTTATACAGGCAAAAGTCATCATTTATACAGGCAAAAGTCATCATTTATACAGGCAAAATCCATTATTTATACAGGCAAAAGTCATCATTTATACAGGCAAAAGTCATCATTTATACAGGCAAAAGTCATCATTTATACAGGCAAAATCCATTATTTATACAGGCAAAAGTCATCATTTATACAGGCAAAAGTCATCATTTATACAGGCAAAATCCATTATTTATACAGGCAAAAGTCATCATTTATACAGGCAAAAGTCATCATTTATACAGGCAAAAGTCATCATTTATACAGACAAAAGTCATCATTTATACAGGCAAAAGTCATCAGTTATACAGGCAAAATCCATTATTTATACTGGCAAAAGTCATCATTTATACAGGCAAAAGTCATCAGTTATACTGGCAAAAGTCATCATTTATACAGGCAAAAGTCATCATTTATACAGGCAAAATCCATTATTTATACAGGCAAAAGTCATCATTTATACAGGCAAAAGTCATCATTTATACAGGCAAAATCCATTATTTATACAGGCAAAAGTCATCATTTATACAGGCAAAAGTCATCATTTATACAGGCAAAAGTCATCATTTATACAGGCAAAATCCATTATTTATACAGGCAAAAGTCATCATTTATACAGGCAAAAGTCATCAGTTATACAGGCAAAATCCATTATTTATACTGGCAAAAGTCATCATTTATACAGGCAAAAGTCATCAGTTATACTGGCAAAAGTCATCATTTATACAGGCAAAAGTCATCATTTATACTGGCAAAAGTCATCATTTATACAGGCAAAAGTCATCATTTATACAGGCAAAAGTCATCAGTTATACAGGCAAAATCCATTATTTATACTGGCAAAAGTCATCATTTATACAGGCAAAAGTCATCAGTTATACTGGCAAAAGTCATCATTTATACAGGCAAAAGTCATCATTTATACAGGCAAAATCCATTATTTATACAGGCAAAAGTCATCATTTATACTGGCAAAAGTCATCATTTATACAGGCAAAATCCATTATTTATACAGGCAAAAGTCATCATTTATACAGGCAAAAGTCATCATTTATACAGGCAAAAGTCATCATTTATACAGGCAAAAGTCATCATTTATACAGGCAAAAGTCATCATTTATACAGGAAAAAGTCATCAGTTATACTTTTCTTTAGAGACACTAGAAAAAGCAGGCACTATTATAACCTTCACTCGGGATATTGTTAGGTTCAAATATAACTTCAAATGTCATTTGAAATATAACTTCAAATGTCATTTGAAATATAACTTCAAATGTCATTTGAAATGTAACTCAAATGTAACTACAAATGTAACTACAAATGTAACCACCCCTCTTTTGCCCAAGATTATCGTCTGCTTGCAGTTTTCTGTCAAGATGGCATTTTCCTTCCTCTTCCTCCTCTCCTCCCTCGCGCGGGTCCTCATCTGCTGCTTGTCGTCGTACACCGGAAGTGGCCGCCGCCAACTGTCAAACGTTGATTTAAACATGGCGTCCTGGGACCTACATCAACAACAGTAAGTTGGTGTTAGATGACCTACATCAACAACAGTAAGTTGGTGTTAGATGACCTACATCAACAACAGTAAGTTGGTGTTAGATGACCTACATCAACAACAGTAATTTGGTGTTAGATGACCTACATCAGCTAGGTACTTAGTAATAACCCCATTTTCGTCACTTAAGTACTAATACAACTAGACTACCGGACAATTAGACTACCGGACAATTAGACTACCGGACAATTACACTACCGGACAATTAGACTACCGGACAATTAGACTACCGGACAATTAGACTACCGTACAATTAAACTACCGGACAATTAGACTACCGGACAATTAGACTACCGGACAATTAGACTACCGGACAATTAGACTACCGTACAATTAGACTACCGGACAATTAGACTACCGTACAATTAGACTACCGGACAATTAGACTACCGTACAATTAGACTACCGGACAATTAGACTACCGTACAATTAGACTACCGGACAATTAGACTACCAGACAACTAGACTACTGTACAATTAGACTACCGAACAATTAGACTACCGGAATTAGACTACCGGACAATTAGACTACCGGACAATTAGACCACCGTACAATTAGACTCCCGGAATTAGACTACCGGACAATTAGACTACCGGACAATTAGACTACCGGAATTAGACTACCGTACAATTAGACTACCGGACAATTAGACTACCGGAATTAGACTACCGGACAATTAGACTACCGGACAATTAGACCACCGGACAATTAGACTACCGGACAATTAGACCACCGGACAATTAGACTACCGGACAATTAGACATTTAGCAGTGATTCTTCCAGACTTTTCACTCCGGGGGGGGGGGGGGGAGAGGCATGGCACTTGAAATTTTCGCTGGGGGGGAGGGGGGACTTTTAAAAGTATATATTTTCTATATAAATTCCATTGTGTTCGGGGGTTGGGGGGGGGCGAAAGAAACTCTGACTGTCGGACAATTAGACCAGGGGCGTAGCGAGGGGGGGGGGTGCGGACCGCACCGGGTGACACCATTTAGGGGGATGACACCAAGGCAAAAAATAGCAAAATATATAGAGAAAAACTTGAGGGGGGGGGGTGCAAATCGAAAGTTTGAGGGGGGGGGGGCGCAAATCGAAATCTTGAAAGTTTGTCCCCGGGAAGTGTCGCTACGCCTCTGGGGATGACACCATTATGTGCCGCACCGGGTGACACCCGACCTCGCTACGCCACTGAATTAGACTACCGGACAATTAGACTACCGGACAATTAGACTACCGGACAATTAGACTACCGGACAATTAGACTACCGGACAATTAGACTATTTACAAATTGTACTCAAGCTCCTTAGGTTATCTTGCTCTATTGACCCGAATCGTATTTATTTACCTAGCTGAAATCGTAATCCAGACGTTTCTCCTAACCACCTACCGAAAATTGAGTTCAAATCCAGGTCAGACCTACATGCCTGACGGAGATGTGCCGAGCCATGTAAATTGTTGTAAAGCCAACTTGGGTCGTGAGAAAGGAAATGACCCGCGTCAAGGGTAGGGTCAGGGTCAGGTTTTGGTCTCTTCCGTGTTCAAGAGGTCGTGTTCGGGAATTTCCCTTTTCGTTTGCTTCAAGTTTGTGTAAAGGCTGTCTATCATGTGCTGCTGTGCTGCTATGGTGTTGTGTTGTTCTATGGAGCTGAGGTGTTCTGTTGTTCGATGGTGCTGAGGTGTTATGGTGTTATGGTGTTGTGTTGTTCTAAGGTGCTGAGATGTTATGGTGTTGTGGTTCTATGGTGCTATGGTGTTGTGCTTCAGATATGACGTAATGGTGAAGTGCTATGGGGTCTCAGGAAAATGGAAACGAATCTGTCAGAATAAAGGCTAGCATCTTTTTGTGGGCGTGGTTAAACAAATTTTGTGGGCGTGGTTAAGCAAATTCATCAGCATGTTTGATCACGGCCATGACAGCCAGTGCTACGGACTTAAAGCCGTGCTTCTTGTGGCTGCTGTCGTGGCTCATGTTGTGCTTCTGTTGGTGGCTGTCGTGTCTCATGTTGTGCTTCTGTTGGTGGCTGTCGTGTCTCATGTTGTGCTTCTGTTGGTGGCTGTCGTGTCTCATGTTGGGCTTCTGGCGGCGGCTGTCGTGGCCCTTATTGTGCCGAGGCGGGCTGGGCTGTCTGGGTTTGCTGGCAGTCGGCGTCAGCGTCATGTCACCCCGCTTCTTGCCCTGCGTCAGCTTCAGCGTCATGCCAGCCTGTAGATCACGTCATACGGAGCTCAACTGACGTCACACATGGGATACACGTCACGCAACCTAACACATGCTACGTCATACTTTGCTCAAAAGCTACGTCATACAATGCTCAAATGTTACAATCTTGCATTCATTAAAGTGACACATATAAAACTGAGAGTGACACCTTTAATGGTGAGAGTGACACCTTTACAGGTGGCAATGTTTTACCTGAACATCTGGAGGCTTGCTACCAGTCTCTGTCACATAGCTTTGTGAATCTGCGGAGATACAGATAGTTGCAAGCCACGCCCCCTTTATTACATACCACGCCCTCCTTCACATGAGATGCCCTTCGTCACGCCATTCATATTTACCATCCATCACAAGCCACACCCACTTATTCTCAACAGCTGTTTGTTTCTCAAGCTAACATCATTGCCCCATGCTCCGCCCACTGCCTGTAAACTGTCCTCCATATCACATATCTGTCCAACCACAACCTCCCCGCGTGTTAGGCTGACCACATATCAACTGTTCACGCCCCTCCCATTTTATCAATCACACCCACATGTCAACTGTTCACGCCCCTCCCATTTTATCAATCACACCCACATGTCAACTGTTCACGCCCCTCGCATTTTATCAATCACACCCACATGTCAACTGTTCACGCCCCTCCCATTTTATCAATCACACCCACATGTCAACTGTTCACGCCCCTCGCATTTTATCAATCACACCCACATGTCAACTGTTCACGCCCCTCGCATTTTATCAATCACACCCACATGTCAACTGTTCACGCCCCTCCCATTTTATCAACCACACCCACCTGTCGGGGTTTTCTCCGTACACACGTTGTCAAGCGCCCCCACCCCCTGGCTGAGCAGCCATTTTTCTGTCTGTGACTTGTTCTGTTTGATGCGCTCTCGTACGGACGCGCTGTCGATGGAAACATCACAATAAAACCACATCAAGTGGTTGTGGGCAACATCACAATAAAACCACATCAAATGGTTGTGGGCAACATCACAATAAAACCACATCAAATGGTTGTGGGCAATACCACAATAAAACCACATCAAATGGTTGTGGGCAATACCACAATAAAACCACATCAAATGGTTGTGGGCAATACCACAATAAAACCACATCAAATGGTTGTGGGCAATACCACAATAAAACCACATCAAATGGTTGTGGGCAACATCACAATAAAACCACATCAAATGGTTGTGGGCAACACCCCAATAAAATCACATCAAATGGTTGTGGGAAATATCACAATAAAACCACACCAAATGGTTGTGGGAAATACCACAATAAAACCACATCAAATGGTTGTGGGCAACACCACAATAAAACCACATCAAATGGTTGTGGGAAACATCATAATAAAACCACATCAAATGGTTGTGGGCAATACCACAATAAAACCACATCAAATGGTTGTGGGCAATACCACAATAAAACCACATCAAATGGTTGTGGGCAACATCACAATAAAACCACATCAAATGGTTGTGGGCAATACCACAATAAAACCACATCAAATGGTTGTGGGCAATACCACAATAAAACCACATCAAATGGTTGTGGGCAATACCACAATAAAACCACATCAAATGGTTGTGGGCAATACCACAATAAAACCACATCAAATGGTTGTGGGCAACATCACAATAAAACCACATCAAATGGTTGTGGGCAACACCACAATAAAATCACATCAAATGGTTGTGGGAAATATCACAATAAAACCACACCAAATGGTTGTGGGAAATACCACAATAAAACCACATCAAATGGTTGTGGGCAACACCACAATAAAACCACATCAAATGGTTGTGGGAAACATCACAATAAAACCACATCAAATGGTTGTGGGAAACATCACAATAAAATCACATCAAATGGTTGTGGGCAAAATCACAATAAAACCACATTAAATCGTTGTGGGCAACATCACAATAAAACCACATCAAATGGTTGTGGGCAATACCACAATAAAACCACATCAAATGGTTGTGGGCAATACCACAATAAAACCACATCAAATGGTTGTGGGCAACATCACAATAAAACCACATCAAATGGTTGTGGGCAATACCACAATAAAACCACATCAAATGGTTGTGGGCAATACCACAATAAAACCACATCAAATGGTTGTGGGCAATACCATAATAAAACCACATCAAATGGTTGTGGGCAATACCACAATAAAACCACATCAAATGGTTGTGGGCAATACCACAATAAAACCACATCAAATGGTTGTGGGAAACACCACAATAAAACCACATCAAATGGTTGTGGGCAACACCACAATAAAACCACATCAAATGGTTGTGGGCAATACCACAATAAAACCACATCAAATGGTTGTGGGCAATACCACAATAAAACCACATCAAATGGTTGTGGGCAACATCACAATAAAACCACATCAAATGGTTGTGGGCAATACCACAATAAAACCACATCAAATGGTTGTGGGCAATACCACAATAAAACCACATCAAATGGTTGTGGGCAATACCATAATAAAACCACATCAAATGGTTGTGGGCAATACCACAATAAAACCACATCAAATGGTTGTGGGCAATACCACAATAAAACCACATCAAATGGTTGTGGGAAACACCACAATAAAACCACATCAAATGGTTGTGGGAAACACCACAATAAAACCACATCAAATGGTTGTGGGCAATACCACAATAAAACCACATCAAATGGTTGTGGGCAATACCACAATAAAACCACATCAAATGGTTGTGGGAAACACCACAATAAAACCACATCAAATGGTTGTGGGCAACAACACAATAAAACCACATCAAATGGTTGTGGGTAACATCACAATAAAACTAAATGTAACCCTATGTTAGCCACCTAGCCTTATCTAAGTGTCACATGTCACATAAAACCCACCTCGCTATCTGTGAATGTCACATAAAACCCACCTCGCCATCTGTGAATGGCACATAAAACCCACCTCGCCATCTGTGAATGGCACATAAAACCCACCTCGCCATCTGTGAATGGCACATAAAACCCACCTCGCCATCTGTGAATGGCACATAAAACCCACCTCGCCATCTGTGAATGTCAGATAAAACCCACCTCGCCATCTGTGAATGCCACCAAGACACGATGAGAATGAGTGAAGCCTGTCTACTGCCAGAGTTATTGACTGCCCTCAAAGCACCTGCAATGCTCTCAAAGACACAAATTGCTGAGTTGGCACTGAGCTGGATCAAAGCTACAACAGTGGCATATCTGTAGGGGAGGGGCGGGGGGGGGGGGATTAGCAGGTGACTCACATTGGCACATTATATCTAGACATTGACACGTCCCATTTAGACATTGACACATTAGAAATTGACACATCTCGTCTAGATATTGACATGTCCCATTTAGACATTGACACGTCCCATTTAGACATTGACACTTCCCATTTAGACATTGACACGTCCATTTTAGACATTGACACGTCCCATTTAGACATTGACACTTTCCATTTAGACATTGACACGTCCCAGTAAGACATTGACACGTCCAATTTAGACATTGACACGTCCCATTTAGACATTGACACATTAGACATTGACACGTCCCATTTAGACATTGACACTTCCCATTTAGACATTGACACGTCCCAGTTAGACATTGACACGTCCCATTTAGACATTGACACGTCCCATCTAGACATTGACATGTCATACTTGACCCACTGACCCACTGACCTGTTGAGCATGACATAGGCTAAACACAAGGTTGGACTTTTCTGTTTTGATGCAAGTCTCCATTGAACTTTGACCCCTGATGCCGGTATTTGGGCACGGTTCAAGGCCTTTTTCATGGCGATGATTTTATCTTTGTACCTCACAATGGTGGATATTTTACCCTCAGTCAGTTTGCTGGGAAACAAGAGGAAAACATACGGGGGGGGGGAGGTTACCCTCAGTCAGTTTGCTGGGAAACAAGAGGAAAACGTACGGGGGGAGGGGGGGATTTGAGGGGGGGGGCAGGATGTGAAAATGACGCATACAATCAGAAAAATCGATTTATTTATGAAAAAGCCTAAAAAAAATATTTTTTTTCTATGACGCTTTTATTTTACAAAAACATCTATTTTTAGAATATCTGAACTGAAGGTGAACATGAATTTAAAAAAAAAATAAAATTGACCTAAATGTCTAAATGCATATTACCCCCCCCCCCTCCTCCACCACACACACACACACACACCCATACTTGCAGGGCTCCCGGTCAAAAACCCCCTGGACATAAACCCCCCGACATAAACCCCCTGGACAAAAAACCCCTGCGACATAAACCCCCTGGAAAAAAAAAACCCGCGATATAAACCCCCTGGACAAAACCCCCCCCGCGATATAAACCCCCTGGACAAAAACCCCCCAATTGAGGTTTATGTAAGGAAAAACTTAAGATGACGAGAAACAAAATTAATATAAAAATACAAAACAAACATGAGGAAAAAACTTTTATTTTTATTATAACTTTAAAAAGACAGATTGTGAGCGATGCCTCGCAAATACTCAATAATGGTGGACTCATTAAAATTTTTAACAACAGTTAAAATTCGAGAGCTGCTATCAATATATTTTTTGTTTTGTTTTGGTAAACAGTGACCTGAATTAATCTGTGTACAATAAACCTCTTGGAGAGATTGTTCCTTTTTAATAAAGTCAATAAATTTCCAAATATTTGGGTGGCAACATCCCATATGCGACTGAAAACTTCTGTGCCAGCCTTCAACTGAGCTGTTTGTTTTTGGCATATGGTCTTCAGCACGTGTGTGCATGTTCCACATGTCAAGTGGAAACAATGGCTGTCTCCGACCTCGACGTTGTGGTCTGCCAATATAGTAGTCCTCAAAGTAGTCTGCAATCGGCATTGCTTCTTGGGGGAAAATTTCCAATAATTTTTCAAAGGCATAACACATGTGTTCGATGGAAACAAAGGCCAACGCAGTTAGCATTCTGAGCTTGAGAGCAAATTCACTATCAACTTGGTAGAGTTGTTGAAGGCCAGAGTCCTGAATTTTTCTGTATATATTTTGGCTAAGATGGAAGAAACATCCTTTTACCTCACACTCTGGAAATACCCTTTCAACACTTTTTATCACAGCCATTTCAAAGTCAATCATAATAGAAATTGGTTGCAGGTTTGTGTTTAAGACCGTTAGCTGCTGTAAGAGTGCTGTGTATATTTCCTGTGTTTTGTTTTGAAGTAAGGCATAAACACATGGAACAGTCCGTCAATTGATCAATGCATGGACTCTGTACAGTTGTGAAAACAGTGCAGGAGCTGTTTTGAATGTACCATCCATAAACCAGAGCTGATTAACCTCCAATAACCTAAGGTTGTCCTTGGTTCCAAACAAAAACATCCTACCTTTTGATTTGGCACCGGAATCGAACAGAAGAAATTGTTGTCCATCTTGTGTCATTGTATTTTATTCAGGAATGATTATATCATCAACATTCCTTGGATCAGACAGTGGGTGTTTTAGCGTTTGACGTTGACGCCTGATGTTACGCCGTATGTGTGGAATCGAGGGCAGCTTGGCCTTAGCATCTTCCGTAATCGTAGTAATGGACTGAGTGATGATCTGCTGGGGTGTTGCTTCCGTTTCTTCTGCCAGTTGTTTCATCTGCTGCACTACTTTACACACTTCCAGTTGAGATGGATCTGGTCCATGCGAATGTTCATTACATCGTCCAACAAGCTGTTCACCATAAATCTTTATTTTTGCTTTGCATTCTGCCTTGTTGCGTCTTTTGGAACACTCAAATGACACAACGCCGTTCGCCAGATCTTTTTGCTTGACATAAACCTAGCCTTCAAAAATCACCTTTAAATTTCCTTTATTGGATTGAACGAACTCCATTCCAGAAAATATACGATTTGTCGAGAAACAAATTTGATTTTATATTTATACCATGCTTTTGTATGCCAAGGTGGATATGAACCAAGCTTCCGCCGGTGAATCCCTCACATCTTTTGAATTGTTTAGAATGTGTTGCTTTGATCCACACGGCTCCCACATGTGGATGCAGAGGCGTAGCGAGGGGGGGGGGGGGGCGGGGGGGGGACATATGTCCCCGGGCGCCGACCTTAGGGGGGGGGGCGCCAAATTGAAAGTTTGAGGGGGGGGTGCAAATGAAAAGTTCGAGGGGGGGGGGGTGCAAATCGAAAATTTGCTCCCGAGGGGGCACCAAATTGAAAGTATGTCCCCGGGCGCCGGGAAGGGTCGCTACGCCTCTGTGTGGATGACTTATATCTAAGGTGTTGTCGGTGCCCGATCTTTGATCAAATACAACTAAGGTCACTCCTTGATTTCGAAAAGCATTTTTTTTAGGTAGAAACTATTTTCTTAGTCGTAAAAAATTAATTTAATGTAATTTTTTTTAATTTCGTGGTTCACATCATCGTTATTTTTTCCTTATATAAACCTCAGTCCGGGGGTTATTATCCGGGGGGTTTATATCGCGGGGGGGGGGGGTGTCCAGGGGGTTTATGTCGCGGGGGGTTTTTGTCCAGGGGGTTTATGTCGGGGGGTTTATGTCCAGGGGGTTTTTGACCGGACACCTACTTGCAAAGGACCTACTTGTCTAAATGCCTGCTTTCAGGGACCTACTTGTCTAAATGCCTGCTTTCAGGGACCTACTTGTCTAAATTAGCAATCAAGCTGGCATATCCGATGACGTCATGTTTATGAACGACCTGATCTGTATCCATCCACTCCTCTGTGAAATATTCCGGTCGACTTTTGATGCATTCTTCAGAAAATGGCGGGAATGATGTACGTATAGCTGCAACAAGAACATGGGTCACAGCTCTGGTGGGTGGGGGGGGGGAGGGGGGGATATAGCTGGATCACAACTTTGTGGGTAGGGGGATGTAGCCAGATATTGAAAAGGTGAGGTAGATTTCAATTATACGTTTGGCAGGAGGGGGGGGGGGTTGTAGGGAGGAGGGGAGGTTAAGGGAGGAGGGGAGGTTTGGTCAGATTTTACTGCTCAGTGTTCCCATTTTGTTAGACTCGCGCTTTAACAAATACAATCAATCAAGGACAGTAACCCAAACTGTCTTACGATACAATCAAACAAGGACAGTAACCCAGCTTGTCCTACGATACAAACAAGGGCAGTAACCCAACCTAACGATACAGTCTAGCACTTGCCTCCCTTAGACCTGTATGGCTGATGGTGTCTAAGTTTGACCTGGTAGCTGGGCAGGTTGTCTGTCGGACGGAAGACGCCAATCTGCAGGCAAAACTCATCATTTATACAGGCAAAAGTCATCATTTATACAGGCAAAAGTCATCATTTATACAGGCAAAAGTCATCATTTATACAGGCAAAAGTCATCATTTATATAGGCAAAAGTCATCATTTATACAGGCAAAAGTCATCATTTATACAGGCAAAAGTCATCATTTATACTGGCAAAAGTCATCATTTATACAGGCAAAAGTCATCATTTATACAGGCAAAAGTCATCATTTATACAGGCAAAAGTCATCATTTATACAGGCAAAAGTCATCATTAATACCTTTTTTTAGAGATATTACTAGATAAAACATACAAAATTCAGCATTTATACAGGCGAAATTCATCATCTATACAGGCAAAATTCACTATTTATACCCTTCTTTACATACATTACTAGATAAAACAGGCAAAATTACATAATTTTTTTCCATTTCAATTTTCTTGAGTATTTTTATACTTAAAGGAAAATGTCACTTTAAGGTTAAATCAGGGTATTAAAAAAATCGCGCACCTATTGAACGAAAACAATATACGTATAGAAGCTCGTAAAATATTAGTACTTTATAAAAAAAAGACGTTGATTAAATCGATAAACAAACATCGCATTTTATGTCACAGTGCATTGTCATCGAGTCTATACCTACGTGAAACGTATCGGTCCTTTAGAAGTGACATTTTTGAGAAATAAGATATACCGTAAAAGTACTACTTACGGTGACCGCAAATTTCTCAAAATCTATAATAATAGTTTCGCTGTCTCTCTATCTATCTATCTGTCTGACAAGAACGCTCTAGAGAAAACACAAGGAATTTAAAAACCTGCACAGTAATTCGAAAAACGAAATATGACGTCGACACATTTAGCGTAGAGTAGAACATAATCTCAAACCAGAGAGTGCACACAGTAATGTAATGACGTCATTGAAACATTGAAAAAAAGGAAATGTTGTCTAATCTAAATGGTTTGCGTGAAGAGTTTCTTGCATACAATTCTTCGGGTAGGGGCGAAGCCCCACCCCCGCGTAAGAACGTCTGAGGGGGGTGGGGGTGGGGTGGGGGGGTTGAGTGGGGTGGTGGTTTTAATTTAGACTTTTTCCTCCCCGGAGAGGGGTGGGGGGTACTTGAAATTTTCGGGGGCGGGGGTAGAATTTTCGGGGAGGGGCGGACACTGGAAAAAGTATATAATTATATTTCGTTGAATGGGACGGTAGACATGTTTTTTTTAGGGGGGGGGGGGGGGGTTGTGGGTGGGGGGTGGGGGGAGGGGGGGTGTGTGGGGGGGGGGGGATGGGGGGTGAGTGGGGGGGGGGGTGGGGGGTGAGTGGGGGGGGGGTGGTTTTAATTTAGACTTTTTCCTCCCCGGAGAGGGGTGGGGGTACTTGAAATTTTCGGGGGCGGGGGTAGAATTTTCGGGGAGGGGGCGGACACTGGAAAAAGTATATAATTATATTTTGTTGAATGGGACGGTAGACATGCTTTTTTTTTGGGGGGGGGGGGTGGGTGGGGGGTGGGGGGGGTGGTGGTGTGTGTGTGGGGGGGGGGTGGGGGTGAGTGGGGGGGTGGTTTTAATTTAGACTTTTTCCTCCCCGGAGAGGGGTGAGGGTACTTGAAAATTTCGGGGGCGGGTGTAGAATTTTCGGGGAGGGGGCGGACACTGGAAAAAGTATATAATTATATTTCGTTGAATGGGACGGTAGACATGTTTTTTTTTGGGGGGGGGGGGGGGGGTGGGGGGTGGGGGTGGGGGGTGGTGTGTGTGTGGGGTGGTGTGTGTAGGGGTGGGGGTGGGGGGGGGGTGGTGTGTGGGGGGGTGGTGTGTGGGGGGGGTGGGGGGTTGGGGTGGTGTGGGTGGGGGTGTGGGTGGGGGTGGGGGTGGTGTGTGTGGGGGGGGGGTGGTTTTTGTTTAGAGAAAAGAGACAGCACTATCAACCTAGCGCCCGGTGTATCCTTCCTCAACGGGCCATTTTTCTCGTTTAAAGTATAAAATGGATTAAATTTTATACCTAAGTATAAATTTTGTTCACCAAACTTAAACGGTACTTTTGAAAATAATCTAAGTATAAGATCTTATACTTATTGTATATCGTTCCCACGTAAACAAAATAAAGTACCACTTCCGGTTATCGAAAATTGTCCAAAATATGATAGAAAACTACACATTTGACGAAATACTGAATATGCACTAAAGTGATCACGTTTACACACACAAAGACAGACAGACGGACAGGGTTGAAATTTCATATTTCTATGGCTTCGGAAGGTTGTAATTGGTCAAAATGTGTCCACATGTGTCCAAATGTGTCGACATGTGTCCAAATGTGTCCAAATGTGTCCAAATGTGTCCAAATCTCGAGTTTTCGCATCCTTTATATTCCGTACACGAAAAATATAGGAGGTGATACAAGGGTAAAAATGTAAAAAAAAAAAAATAAATGAACAAAAGAAAATGATTCATCTCGATCACAATACTTCATCTCTATATCGGAGAAAGTAAAAAGTGTAAGACCTAGTGACCTGTTGAAAGAAAAAAGAAAGACCTTAAGACCTGAGAATGACCTACCACTCTTTTGTTTATTTGGATTGTGTTCCTGCAGTTTTCTGTCAAGATGGCGTCTCCCTCCCTCTTCCTCCTCTCCTCCCTCGCGCGGGTCCTCATCTGCTGCTTGTGGTCGTACACCGGAAGTGGCCGCCGCCAACTGTCAAACGTTGATTTAAACATGGCGTCCTGGGACCTACATCAACAACAGTAAGTTGGTGTTAGATGACCTACATCAACAACAGTAAGTTGGTATTAGATGACCTACTTCAACAACAGTAAGTTGGTGTTAGGTGACGTAATCAACAACAGTAAGTTGGTGTTAGATGACCTACATCAAAAGTAAGTTGGTGTTAGGTGACGTAATCAACACGCCAAGTACGTTCTCGTTCTAAAACCAGCCCTACCAGCCCTAACAGTTGGTCAAGGCTGCAAGAACCAACCACGGCCTATGGGGTCATTGGACATGACCCATGTGGACATGACCCATGTGGACATGACCCATGTGACGAGAATTCTTATTGTTGACATGGATAAAAATCTTTTTTTTTTTTTTTTTTTTTTTTTTTTTTTTTTTTTTTTTTTAGATTTTGCAATCAAGGAAGGCGTTAAAACAACAACAAAAAAACTTAAGCCTAAAAATAAGTCAGAAATTTAATATTTTTAGAATCTATTGTCTTTGTTATTCAAGTTGCAAATCCAGATAACTTGAGAAAAAAATGTGTTGATATTAAGGCTACATTTCTATTTATTTTCACCAAGCCTAAGTTATAACCGGATGTTTCACTTTTGTAAGACAAAATATATTGATTGGCTGTACAGGAACTCCTTGTTATTTGTTTACAAAATTTTGAGGATAAAGTTTTTAAGTAACACAATGCTATTTTAAACCACATGACCTAGTTCCGCCATTTTGTTTACATTTGGTATAATACAATTTATGCTAGCCTATCCAATAACAGGGTGTCATTGTTTTATGTCGCCATTACCATGTAAAAACCAAATTGCTTTTGCCATTTTTAAAAATTGTGTTTAGATCTAATTACCGGAAACAAAAAACGTTGAAAAGTCCGAAAAACCAAACAGTCAGGATTTTATGCCTGTATTAGTTTTAATTACACCGTGCATGATTTTAAAAAAAATATTTAATGGGCCTCACGACTTAGTGACTATTCTCGCTCGATGTACCATTGGCTGTAGCGAAGCGGCAGGGTCACTTGAATCTAGCCAGTTATTTGCTAGTGTTACTTTACTCGGGGACAAAATAAAAGAATTCCCAAATTGTGCGTTTAGAAAAAAAAACTCACCAAGTTCGAATCGTGTTAGTCTAGTTTGTCTTGACGTGCTGGCACTAGTCTAGTTTGTCTTGACCTGCTTGCACTAGTCTAGTTTGTCTTGACGTGCTTGCACTAGTCTAGTTTGTCTTGACGTGCTTGCACTAGTCTAGTTTGTCTTGACGTGCTGGTCTAGTTTGTCTTGACGTGCTTGCACTAGTCTAGTTTGTCTTGACGTGCTTGCACTAGTCTAGTTTGTCTTGACGTGCTTGCACTAGTCTAGTTTGTCTTGAACTGCTGGCACTAGTCTAGTTTGTCTTGACCTGCTTGCACTAGTCTAGTTTGTCTTGACCTGCTGGTGCTGGTCTAGTTTGTCTTGACGTGCTTGCACTAGTCTAGTTTGTCTTGACGTGCTGGTCTAGTTTGTCTTGACGTGCTTGCACTAGTCTAGTTTGTCTTGAACTGCTGGCACTAGTCTAGTTTGTCTTGACGTGCTGGTCTAGTTTGTCTTGACGTGCTTGCACTAGTCTAGTTTGTCTTGAACTGCTGGCACTAGTCTAGTTTGTCTTGACGTGACAATCACAAGCTAGGATCGTCAGCTGAAACAATGGAAGTAACTCCACCCACAGCGCATTCCGTGTTCAATATGTGAGCACGGGAATTCCCACTTCTCATGTAAACATTTGTGTACAACATTCTTAGCTCAATCTACATTTGCTGCATTCGGTCAGTTGTCTTGGTTCGCCTGGTCCTTTTCTTTGTCAGGTAGGTCAATTGTCTTGCTAGGTTGGTCATTTACTTGGCCAAAGCTGGTCATTTACTTGACAAAACTGGTCATTTACTTGGCAAAACTGGTCATTTTTCACAGTGGCAAACTGGATCGTACGGATGTCTCCTGTAAGCTGGGGTGTCTGCTGTAAGCTGGGGGGTGTCTGCTGTAAGCTGGGGGGGGGGGTGTCTGCTGTAAGCTGGGGGGTGTCTGCTGTAAGCTGGGGGGTGTCTGCTGTAAGCTGGGGGGTGTCTCCTGTAAGCTGGGGGGTGTCTGCTGTAAGCTGGGGGGGGGTGTCTGCTGTAAGCTGGGGGGGGGGGGTGTCTGCTGTAAGCTGGGGGGTGTCTGCTGTAAGCTGGGGGGTGTCTGCTGTAAGCTGGGGGGGTGTCTCCTGTAAGCTGGGGGGTGTCTGCTGTAAGCTGGGGGGGGGTGTCTGCTGTAAGCTGGGGGGGGGTGTCTGCTGTAAGCTGGGGGGGGGGGTGTCTGCTGTAAGCTGGGGGGTGTCTGCTGTAAGCTGGGGGGGGGTGTCTGCTGTAAGCTGGGGGGGGGGTGTCTGCTGTAAGCTGGGGGGTGTCTGCTGTAAGCTGGGGGGTGTCTGCTGTAAGCTGGGGGGGTGTCTCCTGTAAGCTGGGGGGTGTCTGCTGTAAGCTGGGGTGTGTCTGCTGTAAGCTGGGGGGGTGTCTCCTGTAAGCTGGGGGGTGTCTGCTGTAAGCTGGGGGGGTGTCTGCTGTAAGCTGGGGGGGTGTCTCCTGTAAGCTGGGGGGTGTCTGCTGTAAGCTGGGGGGTGTCTGCTGTAAGCTGAGGGGGGTGTCTCCTGTAAGCTGGGGGGGGTGTGTCTGCTGTAAGCTGGGGGGGGGGTGTCTCCTGTAAGCTGGGGGGTGTCTGCTGTAAGCTGGGGGGTGTCTGCTGTAAGCTGGGGGGGTGTCTGCTGTAAGCTGGGGGGTGTCTGCTGTAAGCTGGGGGGTGTCTGCTGTAAGCTGGGGGGTGTCTGCTGTAAGCTGGGGGGGTGTCTCCTGTAAGCTGGGGGGTGTGTCTGCTGTAAGCTGGGGGGGGGTGTCTCCTGTAAGCTGGGGGGTGTCTGCTGTAAGCTGGGGGGTGTCTCCTGTAAGCTGGGGGGTGTCTGCTGTAAGCTGGGGGGTGTCTGCTGTAAGCTGGGGTGTCTGCTGTAAGCTGGGGTGTCTGCTGTAAGCTGGGGGGTGTCTGCTGTAAGCTGGGGGGTGTCTCCTGTAAGCTGGGGGGTGTCTGCTGTAAGCTGGGGGGGTGTCTGCTGTAAGCTGGAGGGGGTGTCTGCTGTAAGCTGGGGTGTCTGCTGTAAGCTGGGGGGTGTCTGCTGAAAGCTGGGGGGGTGTCTGCTGTAAGCTGGGGGGGGGGGTGTCTGCTGTAAGCTGGTGGGGGTGTCTGCTGTAAGCTGGGGTGTCTGCTGTAAGCTGGGGTGTCTGCTGTAAGCTGGGGCGGGTGTCTGCTGTAAGCTGTGGGGCGGTGTCTGCTGTAAGCTGGGGGGTGTCTCCTGTAAGCTGGGGGTGTCTGCTGTAAGCTGGGGGGTGTCTGCTGTAAGCTGAGGGGGGTGTCTCCTGTAAGCTGGGGGGGGGGGTGTGTCTGCTGTAAGCTGGGGGGGTGTCTCCTGTAAGCTGGGGGGTGTCTGCTGTAAGCTGGGGGGTGTCTGCTGTAAGCTGGGGGGGGTGTCTGCTGTAAGCTGGGGGGTGTCTGCTGTAAGCTGGGGGGTGTCTGCTGTAAGCTGGGGGGTGTCTGCTGTAAGCTGGGGGGTGTCTCCTGTAAGCTGGGGGGTGTGTCTGCTGTAAGCTGGGGGGGGGGTGTCTGCTGTAAGCTGGGGGGTGTCTGCTGTAAGCTGGGGGGTGTCTCCTGTAAGCTGGGGGGTGTCTGCTGTAAGCTGGGGGGTGTCTGCTGTAAGCTGGGGGGTGTCTGCTGTAAGCTGGGGTGTCTGCTGTAAGCTGGGGTGTCTGCTGTAAGCTGGGGGGTGTCTGCTGTAAGCTGGGGGGTGTCTCCTGTAAGCTGGGGGGTGTCTGCTGTAAGCTGGGGGGGTGTCTGCTGTAAGCTGGAGGGGGTGTCTGCTGTAAGCTGGGGGGGTGTCTGCTGTAAGCTGGGGGGTGTCTGCTGAAAGCTGGGGGGGGGTGTCTGCTGTAAGCTGGGGGGGTGTCTGCTGTAAGCTGGGGGGGGGTGTCTGCTGTAAGCTGGGGGGGGGGTTGTCTGCTGTAAGCTGGGGTGTCTGCTGTAAGCTGGGGTGTCTGCTGTAAGCTGGGGCGGGTGTCTGCTGTAAGCTGTGGGGCGGTGTCTGCTGTAAGCTGTGGTGTCTGCTGTAAACTGGGGGGTGTCTGCTGTAAGCTGGGCTGGGTGGTGTCTGCTGTAAGCTGGGGGGTGTCTGCTGTAAGCTGTGGGGCGGTGTCTGCTGTAAGCTGGGGGGGTGTGTCTGCTGTAAGCTGGGGTGTCTGCTGTAAGCTGTGGGGCGGTGTCTGCTGTAAGCTGTGGGGCGGTGTCTGCTGTAAGCTGGGGGGGTGTGTCTGCTGTAAGCTGGGGTGTCTGCTGTAAGCTGGGGGGTGTCTGCTGTAAGCTGTGGTGTCTCCTGTAAGCTGGGGGGTGTCTGCTGTAAGCTGGGCTGGGTGGTGTCTGCTGTAAGCTGGGGGGTGTCTGCTGTAAGCTGTGGGGCGGTGTCTGCTGTAAGCTGGGGGGGTGTGTCTGCTGTAAGCTGGGGTGTCTGCTGTAAGCTGTGGGGCGGTGTCTGCTGTAAGCTGTGGGGCGGTGTCTGCTGTAAGCTGGGGGGTGTGTCTGCTGTAAGCTGGGGTGTCTGCTGTAAGCTGGGGGGTGTCTGCTGTAAGCTGTGGTGTCTGCTGTAAGCTGGGGGGTGTCTGCTGTAAGCTGGGGGGTATCTGCTGTAAGCTACGGTGTCTGCTGTAAGCTGGGGGGGGGGGGGGTGTCTGCCGTAAGCTGGGGGGGTGTCTGCTGTAAGCTGGGGGTGTCTGCTGTAAGCTACGGTGTCTGCTGTAAGCTGGGGGGTGTCTGCCGTAAGCTGGGGGGGGTGTCTGCTGTAAGCTGGGGGGTGTCTGCTGTAAGCTGGGGTGTCTGCTGTAAGCTGGGGGGGGTGTCTGCCGTAAGCTGAGGGGGTGTCTGCTGTAAGCTGGGGGGTGTCTGCTGTAAGCTGGGGTGTCTGCTGTAAGCTGGGGGGGTGTCTGCTGTAAGCTGGGGTGCCTGCTGTAAGCTGTGGGGGGTGTGTCTGCTGTAAGCTGGGGTGTCTGCTGTAAGCTGGGGGGTGTCTGCTGTAAGCTGGGGTGTCTGCTGTAAGCTGGGGGGGGTGTCTGCTGTAAGTTGGGAGGTGTCTGCTGTAAGCTGGGGTGTCTGCTGTAAGCTGGGGGGGGTGTCTGCTGTAAGTTGGGGGGTGTCTGCTGTAAGCTGGGGGGGTGTCTGCTGTAAGCTGGGGGGGTGTCTGCTGTAAGCTGGGGTGTCTGCTGTAAGCTGGGGTGTCTGCTGTAAGCTGGGGGGGGGTGTCTGCTTTAAGCTGGGGGGTGTCTGCTGTAAGCTGGGGGGGTGTCTGCTGTAAGCTGGGGGGGGTGTCTGCTGTAAGCTGGGGGGGTGTCTGCTGTAAGCTGGGGGTGTCTGCTGTAAGCTGGGGGGTGTCTCCTGTAAGCTGGGGGGTGTGTCTGCTGTAAGCTGGGGGGGGGGTGTCTCCTGTAAGCTGGGGGGTGTCTGCTGTAAGCTGGGGGGTGTCTCCTGAAAGCTGGGGGGGGGGTGTCTGCTGTAAGCTGGGGGGGGTGTCTGCTGTAAGCTGGGGGGGTGTCTGCTGTAAGCTGGGGTGTCTGCTGTAAGCTGGGGTGTCTGCTGTAAGCTGGGGCGGGTGTCTGCTGTAAGCTGTGGGGCGGTGTCTGCTGTAAGCTGGGGGGTGTCTCCTGTAAGCTGGGTGGTGTCTGCTGTAAGCTGGGGGGTGTCTGCTGTAAGCTGAGGGGGGTGTCTCCAGTAAGCTGGGGGGGGGGGTGTGTCTGCTGTAAGCTGGGGGGGTGTCTCCTGTAAGCTGGGGGGTGTCTGCTGTAAGCTGGGGGGTGTCTGCTGTAAGCTGGGGGGGTGTCTGCTGTAAGCTGGGGGGTGTCTGCTGTAAGCTGGGGGGTGTCTGCTGTAAGCTTAGGGGTGTCTGCTGTAAGCTGGGGGGTCTCTCCTGTAAGCTGGGGGGTGTGTCTGCTGTAAGCTGGGGGGGGTGTCTCCTGTAAGCTGGGGGGTGTCTGCTGTAAGCTGGGGGGTGTCTCCTGTAAGCTGGGGGGTGTCTGCTGTAAGCTGGGGGGTGTCTGCTGTAAGCTGGGGGGTGTCTGCTGTAAGCTGGGGTGTCTGCTGTAAGCTGGGGTGTCTGCTGTAAGCTGGGGGGTGTCTGCTGTAAGCTGGGGGGTGTCTCCTGTAAG